GCATAAACCACAAATTAGAATTGTTTTGCCTATTCCCACAAATTAAGGTTTCATTAGTATGGTTGAGAATACTTTAACAAACTTATAGGTTAAATATTGGTTAGCTAATTATGTGGCTATATGCTGCAACTCATGACTCGGTATTTGAGAGGAAAGCAAAACATGATTCCCGTCATCCATAATCATAGCACAATTATGATTTGCAGTTCTTGGGATCAAAGCAACACATGTGATCAGTGTAGGATCATCTTGTGTCACAGCATCCTTCCTGCTTTACTAAACTACAGTAAACCCTAGAAGATCTGGACTAAAAGGGGGGACCGCCTGTCTGAAAAACAGTACAGTATACTATATACTGTACGAACATACAGACCACTACAGTATGGAACATGAATTCCTCCGATAACACAACAGATACATTCCTAAAAAAATGCCATGGTATGTGAGATTAATAATCCATAAGAAAACATGTAAAAGTCAAGGGTTGTTTGTGTTTGAGACAGGATCACATGTTAAAAGTCCAAGTGGTGAGGTGAGGTTGGGCTAGGAGTGGGAATTGAAGGGAGGGTGTTTCCATATACTGTACTGTACAGTACTCACCTAGCCCACCTTCCCGGCCACTCGGTAGTGTAAACTCATTAAAAGTAAACACAATACAGTATGCAGAAAGTGAATACGCCCGTACTCTAAAAAATTTTAATGGAAATACTTTAAGTTTTATTTACCTTAATTGATATTAGTGGCTGGCTGACATAATGGCAGGTGGTGTTACGAGTGGAATGTTAATTTGGAGAAGATGGCGAAGATGATGCCGATCGAGGCTTGGGTTCTACCTGTGAAGTTGATGGCTTGCAAACATCAGAAGTGTCATTTTCGTTTTTTTTCATCTCTAGCACTATTCTAAAACCACACACTAGATGACATATACATTGTTTACTGTATATCTGAGGGGGCTTATAAAAATTTACCAGCTACTGCTATATTTTGATTTATAGGTGATAAAATGAACTTAATACTGTACTCTATTTGCACTCATGACTATAAGGGGTGACACTGATCAATTGTGAATAAACAGCAAACTTTTGTGAGTAAATACACTGTGTAGGTGTGATTAGTGGAGGTTGGGCTGTAAATGCCTCATTGACTATATCCAGGGTTGTCATCTTGATGGAAATTGAAAATAGAAAGACAAATAACCAGGCATCCTCAATTCAAAAACCATGATCAATACATTATCAGATTATTTTTCTTCAAAACCAAACAATTTTTTAATAAAAAAATTATTCAAATTCAGTAAAGTAATGAAAATTATTAGTTGGCAACTATGTTCTGATAATCCTGCTCAGTACAACACACTTGCAGAGACTTTGTCCAAGACACATCCAGTGATATGTTCATCTGTAGACCGTGTTAAACTGAACACTGACTGTGTTCTCTGAAATGTGTGCTTAACTGGTGAATCATGTAAACGTGAAATGTGTTGTGTTAACCAAGGAGTTACAAGGGGCAGATCCAGGAAGTTTTGGGTGTGGGAACATGGTGAGCAAAGCAAGCCCACCCAGCTGGATTTTTTTTTATTTATTTTTTAATCTAACCAATATCATGGGCATTTTGTGGCCATTTTGAAGCCATGTGCACTTGTTATTAGGAGATATTCTGAGATCAATAGTAATTACTTTTTACTATACAAAAATGCCTGAGTACAATTCTTCATTAAAGAAAAAGTATTGGCATTTTCTGATGAAAAGAGGGGTCCGGACCCCCAGGACCCCATCCCCTGGATCCGCCCTTTACAGTATAATACGGGTACTGTGTTTTATGAGAGATACATTGTAAATGTCGATAGTTATTAAATAAATACACTTAAATGGGCATGTATAATGGGAGGAATTTACACTCGGCAGTATAATAAAACAAATAGAAAACATCATTACAGTAAAAACCCTGAGTACTGGACTAATTAAACCACAGCAACGTCGTTGTTCAGCAGGGAGGCTCAACTATTCAAAATAACAACTAACAGTGGCTTATTTAACCCTTACGCCCCGGGTGACGTACCGGAATGCCCGACTGGCGTGCCCCGGGGGACGTTCCAGAACGCACGCCTATTCCCGCCACTGTTTAAATGCCCAGCGCGTGTCATCTGGTTCCAGTGTGACTATTTGCCGGTCAAACCACATGCTCGGCCACAGGGAAGCTTCCTGAATGTAATTACTTACTTTGTTTGTTTCATTTTCATTGTTTGTCCATTTTATCGTGTTGTATCAAAGTAATATTGCTAAAAGAAGTGTGGTTGTATTGTAGTGTAGTATTACTGGAAAATAATGCTATGATTATGTTATAAATGTATTTATTTGTGGAAATATTAATGTCCCCAGGAGTCCTCAGACCTTTCGGAAACCTAGGAGAGGAAGGTTTTACAGGGGAACAGGACTAGCTGCTCGGTTCAGTTATCAACCTATGGGAAATTTTAGAGGAGGAAATAATCAAAGACGTAATAGAGGTGGCCGTTTGTTCAGAAGCGGAAGGAGACCTTATTCCACCAACTCAGCAACTACTCCCTTCCAATGAAGCCAGACAGCTGGGTCGTCTAGGGGGTTGGGAGAACAGATGGACTTCTTCCATATGGGCTTACAAGACAATCAAAGGAGGTCTCACATGGACTTGGTTGAGGCACCCTTCCCTGGCATTTCCAAAAAAAGGAAAAACCAACCCCCTTACTTACAAAATTGGCTAGGAATTAACATACCTAGGTAACATTGCTGAGCGTCGCATTCCGAGCTATATCACAAAAACTGTTTTTTAGAAAAAAAACGGCTTTTTTAGCATTACTTGCTCTACCAAACACAAAGACAGCCAGGCAGCTTGGCGACCAACAGCGTGTGTGTTGCCGAGCACTTTTTATGAAAATCAATGCAAGTAAAATATTCTAAATGAATTATTTATAGGAAATAAGTACAGTATTACGATCGGTAAATATATGTATTACTGGTCATCCCGGACACAAAGGCAAGTAGAAAATGGCCGCTAAGTGCATAGTGACCACGTGCGTCAGGTGTCAAAACAACACTGTCCCTTTATCTCCCTCGCCACTGCTGCCACAGGGAAGTTTCTAGAGGGTCAAAATATAGTTTTTCTTATTTCTTTTTTATGGTTTTATCATTAAAAAAAGGTTAAAAGAAAATTTGGAAAAGTTTTTATTTTTCTTAATTTACCCCCGCGTGGGGGACACGGCCAGCGGCACCCTAGCCCGAGGCTAGGGTATTAAGCTCATAGTAAATTAGTTCAAGTAAAATAATCATACTTATGACATACTGTACTGTACTTTCAGTAAAAAAAAAAAAATATTTCAAGTGCTACTGGGTAACAGATGTAGGTAAGGTGTTATGAACAGGATCCTAATCCAATACTGTACTATATATTCATTACAAAAACCTTTCACTAAAATCCCATTTAACATCACTTCATTCACAGTACAGTATTTACATTATTAGTTAAGTATGGGATATTGTTGTTATTTTGAATGGGCAGGGTTGTGCTCTATCCTAACGTATGGAATTAACACTGTTCCGACTTATGAACAAATCAACTTACGAACACGGTCCAGGAACATAACTCGTTCACAACTCGGGGACTGCCTATAAGTATATCTATTATTGCTTCCCTAAGGATGTAAAACAAATTGTGAATTACACTTCTATAGTTTTTAAGAAATTAGCACTGGAACGTTTTCTCGACAAGTTTCACTTATTCTTACCTTACACAATGAAATGAAACAAATTACAGTATATGATGAGGATAATCATGCCATAAAACTTGATTCTAAAAAAATTCCCCAGTGTAATATGAGTGAAATCAGCAATTCATATTAATGAATAATTGGAGAATGCGGACACATGTATGAGGTGTGTGGATTAAATTACTATTCCATATACTACTGTACATGTATATGCAGTCCAGTATTTGCTGATGGCAAGATGTTTAGGGAAATCACTTACCATTTCATTTCACCACTTACTAGTTTACAGCCAATCGGTGGTTGGTCTGTTCTCGTTACAGTACTTTGTTATGACCTTATTCTTAGTACAGTAGAGAAGGAAACTGGAGCACCTGGTAAAAACCTGTGATCTTTGGTATGGTCACACTGGATAACACCCTTCGCGCATCTGCTTCTGGCTGGGGACTGAACCCAGGACATAAGTGAAAGATCTGTTAATATACAATTGCATCTATATGAATCAATAAGTAGCGATGGAAACAACAGTTTTCAGAAAGGGAATGAGGATTACCCGTACGGTATTGTTTCTCATAATATACGCCTGTACTAGCAAAATTAAATTTTGTCCCAATCGTCAATTTTGAGATCAATAAGAGGAAGAAATCTCAAGTGAAATTAACTTGATAACTTATATTTGAACTTGGAAACAGTCATATAAACATGAAACATCCACCCGCTGTTCCTACTTACTGTAAAAATGATAATCTTCTCACTTGAAAGTTTTGACTTCTTTTTTTTCAGGAAATCTTACATTTTTGTTTGTTTGGGGATGGCTAATTTGTGCTTTGTCCGACCTGCTGTCACACACTTATTATTCTACACAGACACACTAATGGAGATTGCAATTTCATTATCCAAAGTACTGTACCTGTAAGCTGGAACTGCAAAATGGCAAGTTAAATATTATAATTTACAGGAGCACAGAACCATTAGTTTTTCAAGTGACAGGAGCCAATCAATCCTCTCCAAACCTACAGTATGTCTAGTTAACTTATGTTCAGTTATCTATTTACAAAAACTGGTTCAGCTGAACAGTTCACAATACATTTTGAACATTGGTCACAGCTGTGAATGGGTACCTAAGTTTACAGGCTGGGTAAGTGCAAGCAGTCCAATGCAGTGCCAAGCACACTATCTTCTGCATACTGAAGACATAATATACAGTGCTGTGTTCACAATCAATGTGAATCACTCTCAGTAGGTTACATCTAAAACGGAATTATTTCAGATCAATCTTTTTATTTAAACAATGTGTGAATGCATAAATGAAGAGCTATCAAAATTTTTTAGTTATTTTTTAACATATATTAAACAAGACATTTAAATCTGTGAATGTAAACTTTTTATCATATGGTGAAATATATTTGATAAGAGTTGTGACACAGAGGTGTTAGAAGAAGTCACCACTGTACAGTACAGTACTGTACTGTACCGTATTATCCAAAATCAGGAATGGTAACATCACATCTACATCAATCAAGTGGAACCCACTTAAAAATTTGAGGGATTAGTAGCTCTACCTAATGGTTCCTTCCATGAAAATGTCAACCTGCAAACCACACCTGAAAATCAACCAAAACTAACAAATTAATTATGTTTTGAAAGCTAAAGTATTGAATTTTACAAATCAGAAAAGAACAAGTCTCTAACACAGCCACAGAAACAGCTATAACCAAAACTGACATCATGTAACAGAAGAAATAAAACTACAGTACCTAAAATAGGACATTACTAACATCAATTGCTAAAATATCTAGAGGTTCAGGCTCTTTTAAAATTATACAAAATGACAAGGATCCCACTGAGTTGTAAACATTGATAGAATGTGTACAGTAATTATCTTGTGTAGATTTTCATCGACATGTGCTTGAAATGTGAGTACAGTAGTTCCAAAGTAACGAACTTCACATTTTTCGGGTCATTTTCCCAATACAAAACTTATTACAGTACAGTGCTTGGAGAAATTCCAATTAATTTTATATTATAAATAGGTGTCCTACAGTACAGTATTACCATACTAACATGACCCTGGAATGTTCTTGCTGGGGATTTGCTATCCCACAAAGACCTGTGAGGTTTGTTACATGTTCAGCAGGAGGTGTATTTACCACTGCAGTAGTAACACCCTCACTCACATTGCTAATTTTTCCACTGTATTTATAATCATGTTCTGTGCAAGAAAGAAGACCTTTGCTGTAAATGTATGTGACAATATTAAAGTAATGATAAAATATGACAAAATGTCTTCTGAGCTGTAAGTTTTCATTATAACTTTAATATTGTCTTCATTCCTTTCTTTCTGTTGTAAACTCATATTACAGTTTGTTCTTTGCTTTTTTCTTTTCATTGCTTTTTTTTATAGACTGTGCTACGATGTATTTTATAAGTTATTCCCAAATAAAATTCATGTAAAGGAAATGGTTAGTGCAAAGTAACAACCCTCGTGTTTTCCTGTAACGAACCTCAGTCACATTTTCCTCAGTAATTTCAAAACTACATTGAATAATATAATTAGCCAGGTTATGGTCATGAACCTTACGTATTCATTGACTTATACTGATATTAAGCACTCCTTGATTGAATCAGTCAATTCACAGAAAAGATGAAATAAACAAGTGGGATTAACTAGATGGATAGCATAGCTGTAACGACCCTCACGGTAACTTTTATATTAAATATAAAATCATATAATACAGGGACATTCCAATTAGCAGCATGATGCAACTCTAAGTGTTGGTAATATATATGTCATAAGAGCCATTTTTTATTACTGTACAGGTATATATTTTTACTTCAGTAATACAACTTGGATTACTTGAATAAGTTGTCTCAAAACGTAACGAACCTTACGATGGAATGGCCTGTATGATAAATACAAAATAGCCTTGAATAAGGACAAGAAGAACACTTGACAGACACTACTGATGTGAGCAAATAATGGTATATACTGTACTGTACCTGCAAAAGTAGTCAAAAAGGGTGCAGTTTGGATAATTTATTCTCTAAACTGTGAAAATCTCAACAACTGTGTTCTCTACCCATCATGGTATCTCATAACAACCAGCTCCAGAAAGAGAGCAATGGCACCCAGAGCAAACCCAGCAACCAGCAAGACGAAGGTGCCCACCATATCAAGAAGGTTAAGTGGCCGGAGGGGTTTCTTGGCATTCTTCTTGACCACACAATGAGTCACTGGCCAAAACTCCTTCTTCCAGGCACTCATCAACCCTGATTGAATCATCAACAGGATCCTGTCCATACATGCCAGGTTGAGAAGTATGTTACATTAGATACTGCATACTGTACTGTACTGTATAACTTGTAATCTACAGTATATTAATAACAGCTTTATATACATACTGTATTATTAAAATTAATATTTCAACAGTCACTTATACTTACCTGTATTCATACTAAGCCCACCCCCACTGTCTCAGGGGTGTGGATGGGGATATTCCATATTACTGTTTGCTGGGATTATGTACCTTTGGTTCCTAAAGTGCAATTTAACCAGGAGCACCTCATCAGAAATCATCCTCTAAATTAGGGATCCAATAAGAAAGACGAACCCACAATTATGAATGGTAACGTTGCCTTCCTTTAATAACGGGTACATTTAGTGTTGCCAATCCTCTCTGCCCATGATGTGTGAACCCAGAGTATCGAAGCATGATTCCGAAGTGCACACAAGTTAGGGGGAGATTCCCAGAATGGCTAATGAACCTTGCAGTAGTAGCTAGACTAAGGATGCTAAATAAACATTCCACCTCTGCCTCTGAATGCAAGCACTTCTTGCATGGTTCTACTGTAATTTTAAGACAGGTTATACAATAGAACATCATTGGCTCTAACCTACTACACTGTTAGTCAGTGGCAGTGTGGAGAAATGCTGTGACGTATGTAGAGGGAGGGGTGAGGGGTTCTCTTCACTGAAAGGTGCACCAACATACAGGTACTGTACCGTCATGTTTCGTAATGCGCCCTCAATCTGTGAAGGCATCTCTGCAGGGGTCAGCTATGAAAACTTTCTTGTATTTCAGTAAAAGGAAGTCTTCCCTACATCAGGTTAATACTTACTCTAGGCTGAAGGCATCTCTGTAAGGGGAGCTCGGCTGCAGGATTATCCCAAAGCGAGTGGAGAAAAAGTGGTCGCGAACCACAGACATCCGACACTCCCCATGTGTGGCCAGATCATCTGCTACTGCAAACTCCAGCCACGAGTTGTCCTGCCACGTAAATATAACCAGGTAAAAATCCTCTCCAATGAATTTAAAAAATTATTTATCTGTATTAACCTTGTAGAGAAATTTTTTTTGGTGAAAACACATTACAATATTACCAATATCATTAGTGTTATACTCGTACTGTATTGTCTATTATTATTAAGAATTTTCATCCTTCAAAACAGACACATCCCAGTGCTACAGCAGACCCTCTACGAACTTGGTTAAGTGTAGGGAAGATCAGAATTGGTGGAACAAGAATAACAACTGAGGAAAGAGACAAGTAGGAAATATATACAGTAGAAGTAAAGGAAAGCAGTCAGCCAATACTTTCCATCCCCACTCACCTCAAAATAAGCAAACTTCTTAGAGCGGACGGCTGCCACACCTTCATCGAACCCATTGACAAGAAGTCCTGGCTTATCTTTGTGCAACTGACCAACTTTCCCAAACAATGTGTCTGGGGCCGAGTTCTGACAAGACGATAGAACAGCTCAACATCTATTATAAAAGACCAGTATAAATTGTACCCAGTGATTTCAAGATTATATGTAGACAATCCTTAAGATTACCGGTAATATCAAATAATGCTACTGCACTCTGTGAAAATTGGACTTCACATGCAATTTGCATTAAAATGTAGCTTCAGAGTGCCTGTAAGGTTCAAATTTAATATCAATAATCCAAGAATACAGAAAGGATAATAACCGTTCCCCAGGTTCTTAAGTCTTGTGGTGTGATAGCTGCCATACCAAAAACTTTTAACTTCAGGTAATGGGGTAAAGTTCTAACCTTGAAGACCTCTTCCATGGCACTGTTGTTCAGGTAAGTCCACAGGAGCTTGCGGGATTCAACCAGGTCTTGCAAGGACTTGACTGGAGGCTCCGTAAAACGTACAGTAAGGGAGGATATCAGTTTACTGCTATAGGAAGCCACAACCACTACGGAGAAAATCCACCACCATCCAGCCAGCATCCGCACTGATGCCGTCTGTGGCTGTCTGTTACCTGAGTTACAAGACAGGGCGAGTTTCATGGTGCATGCACATGAGAGATAAGGAGAGAAAGAGAGATTCTTGTGTAACATTACTTGTATGTCTATACACATACAGTATATTGTATATCCTTCACACAAAGAATAAGGTAAATATCAATTTGGTGTTGAAGCAAAAACAAAATTAAATACAAGTACACATAACCCTGGAGGATATCAAGTATTCATAGAACACAAGAGAGTCTTAGGAGACCTACTCTGAGAAACGAGGCAGCCGAAGGTGTCCATAACATAGTGGAAGAAGGAGTATGTGGAGGTGGCATGGCGACGAGGATAAAGTAATACCCTAGCTTGGCTCCCCCGCCCTAGCAACCACTCTGTCATGCCCACCACCACCATGGACATCAGCACGCCCACCCACACCTGTAAATATTGCACTCACATATACTGTACATGGATATAGTGTAATGTGAAAGGAGAGAGAGAGAATCAGAATTATGCCCAATATGTCTACAAAGCTGGGGAATGCTGGAAAGAGGACATCCCCCACAGCTCACCACCCTTGCTTCCCTCTCTGATCTCTGGGCAGCATTTGATCACAAGAGGAGTGAAGTAGAAACTGCACTTCGAAACACTTTCTGTAATGCTTTGTATGAATAATAATTCCAAAATAACTAGCCTGTATACAGTATTGAAACAACCATATATATTGTAGATGATCAAAATATAAATTATCAATGACCACTAACTAACCTATACCAACCTAACTTTTCCTAACCTTATCTAACCAGTTAGTTATACAGTTCAGTCGTTTGTTTTTATTATAAACAATATATATTACATAAAACAGTAAATTTAGCTGATGCAAGTACAAATCAAATGAGTTTCTCCATTTTGGGTGTGTAATTTTCCCTAATTAGTCACACACACACACACACAAATACTTGTGTGTTCACTCCTTGCCAATATCATTTGTGTGCTGAAATTCCTTGTTAAATGACCATCTCCTCCATGTCATTATATATGTACCACATATGTCATTTGTATATTTTCAACTTATTGCTGCTGTACTAGTCAATAAAATGTTAATTATTATTACTACAGTACAGTACGTACTGTATTATTATTAATATCTCGCATATACACACACTAGTCCACCATCCCTCATCATCACCAGTCTTCCACCCATCATCCAAGCTTTCATTACCACACACCAGGCCAGCGAATGGGAAGAGGTATGCTGTAAGGTCAACAATGACAAGAGACTCCGGGATGAGGATGTCCCATGGCTCGTAGTCGAAAGGCACTGTGAAGTCAATGGCTTTCTCCCTAGCCTCCGTGATCGATGTTGGACCCAATGCCATCTCAACTTCCTGACAGGGACAATATGCACTATAGGGAGATGACTTAGGACTAATAAAGGTTATATTTGAAACTATGAACTTAAATTTTGGATCTCAAAATTGTATTTAAGACTACAGCTACAGTACCAAACTTATAGATGTAGTAATAGGGACTTAAAAAAAAATTACACAACAACTAAAAAATTTCACTTGAGAATGCAAATGTTTAATTTCGGGCTCAAGGGTTAAACCGGTGTATGAGATTGCTTATGTTATGATGAAAGGATTAGCACTAAAGAGTAAAAAGTTTAAACTCAGAAGACATATGGTATGAATGTACAAGTAACTGCAAATTCACTGTGTGGAAATCACAGGAACTAATACAGAAGTACTGTACAGATGTTATATCCATTTTCACAGGAGCCACAAGACCTCACCTTACGGTACACCTCGCCAACCATGCCAGTCCAAGTGCCATCTTTGAGAGCCCCCCACTGGTCATCATCAGGCAGCTTGAGCTTGTACCTGGTGAAGACAGAACACACTATGATATCATCTTACATGTACCATCACTTTATATACCCACAGAGGCTCAATATAACAAACAAATAAACATACACACACACTTGACTGTCTGATACCAACAAATAAACACACACTCATACTTTTTACTTTTATCCTCTTCACCGCTGATCGGCTCGTCGTTAGCCGCTTGGGCGATTGGTCACGTCTCTGTTACTCACTGCTGTTGACAAGTACTGGGCATGCACTGGCTCTTTTCTTTTTCTTTTATCCTCTTCACCAATTGATCGGCTCGTTAGCCGCTTGGGCGATCGGTCACGTCTCTGTTACGTACTGTTGGCAAGTACTGGGCATGCACCGGCTCCTGAATGTACCTGAACCTGGTCAAGTCTGGTCTTGAAAGAGCTCACACTCGGTGCCATCACAACACTTTCTGGTAGATTGTTCCTAGAGTTCACAACTCTCACTCCGAAAAAGTTTGCCCTTACAGTTTTCTGGACATGCGGCTTCTTCAATCTTGAGCTATGACCCCTTGTGGGGCGAGTGTCTGCCAGTTCCAAGCAAGGACACTCAACTTGATTAGTGCCCCTCGCCCCTTGCCCGTCTGTACAGTAGTATAAGCTAGGCAAGTTCAGGTGCTCCAATCTCTCAGGGTAGTTGAGGTGCCAAAGTGCAGGCACCAGTCTGGTGGACCTCCTTCGAACATTTTCAACCAACTGACAGTCCCTAGCATATCTCGGGGACTAGACGGGATGACAGTATTCCAGATGGGGAAGCACTTCACTCTTGAAGATCGTTACGAGGGACGGACTGTCTAGATATCTGAGCGACCTTCTTATAAGACCCAATAATTTATTTGCCTGATTTACCTTCTTCTCGCAATGACCCGAGAACTTCAGCTCATTGTCAACATACACACCTCAGTCACCAAATGCAATTTATGTCATCTCCATTCATAGTGTGTTTTCAGCCTTTGGTTACTATTTTCTCACATTAAACATTTACATTATTATTATTATTATTATTATTACTGTATTATTATTTTCAATTTACTGTAAACACACACACACAAACAAACACTTTTCACCTCATTCACTTTGCTCACTCCACTTTTCTCTTCACAAATTCACAATAAATGTTTTACTTCACTCGCTCACTTTCTCTGATGCTAAAATAAATGAATGCCTCCACCTTGGAATTACTCACGTGAAGTTGTATGTGTTGGCAAAGCTGTTGAGTAGTTCGATGAGAATTCCGCTGGAGTCGACAATGGTTCTCTTATCCTTCACCAACCACACATATGGAGGACGCTTAAAGCATGTAAATAAAATATGCTCAGATCCTGGAAGTGGGTGAGGAAGACACAAGAGTAGGAGAAGAACAGAGAGAGGGTAGAAAAGTGAGGAGGGATGAATGGGGGATAAAAGGTGGCAGGAGTAACAATGAGGATGCAAAAATGAGAAACGGGAGGCGAAAAATGGGGGAGGGTGAATTGGATAAAAGAGACATCAACTTTACTTTGCTTTATCCTCTTCGCCACTCATCGGCCTGTTTGCCACTTAGGCGGTCGGTCACGTCTCTGTTAAGCACTGCAGGCAAGTACTGAGCCTGTACTGACTCCAGAATCTATCTGAACCCGAGCCAAAATTTGTAAAGTCTGGTCTTGAAAGAGCTCTCACTCAGTGCCATCACAACACTCTCTGCCAGAATATTTCAATACTGTAGTTCACAGCTCTCACTCCAAAAAAGTTTGCCCTGAATTTTCTGAGGTTGGGAGAGGGATTAAGAGTAAGATGACAGGAGAGAAAAGGGAAGAAGTAAGCCATGTGGTTCATGGTGGATGGGAGGACTAGAGTAAAGAAAGAAGGAAGAGACAGACAGAAAGAAGATGGGGGGGAAGAGAAGAGATCAGAAATAACAAACACAATGAGGAGTACAGGAGAGAGGAAACACAAGAAGGGCATGTGCAAGTAAAGAAATAAACACTCAAGAAAATGTAAATACTGTATCATCACACACAGAATTGGGGAGGGGAAACAACGAAATCATGAGTCTTATAAACAGCTGTTAACAATTAGGAGGGAGAACCCCATTAAGAATTAAAAGTCCATTTGACTCCACAACAATAATGTAAGGTAATCTATGGCGAGCTGCAAGAACTACAAAATGAGAAACATAACAAAATTCAAGCAAATCAGATAAAAATGGCATTTTTTTTTGTATTTTTAGGAAATGAGAAGAAACTGATGGAAAGTGAAAAAAAGAAAAGAAAAAAGATTTCTGTAATGAAGCAAAAGAACAATTTACAAATTTGGTGGAAGAGGACATGTACTATACAAAACTACGTAGACAATAAATCATCAAGCTTGGATGACATACCCACCAGCTCAATAGCGCACCACAGACTACCAACTTGTCCCAATAGCATTACTCACGTGCTTGATAGCTACAGTGAGGACATGACCGTTTAGAAGCTTCCTGGCCTCCTGCTTCACCTTCTGCAGATAACTCTGTCCCACTGCTGCTGCCCTCACCACCCGCTCAGAGAACTGGGTTGCCGTCTTTCTGTTCCCAAAACATGCTCAAATTAGTGTATTCGATTAATATCCCAACATTTGACCCCTAATTAGTCAAAATGGTTCATCTCCAGTTAACTTACCCACTTGATAAGCCTAGTTCAGACTCCATAATTAATATCCCTCAGTTAGTTTATCTAGTTATCATTCCCAATTAAACTTCTCTGTCCAGTCTTAGTGATTCCTCTTGCCAGTTGCTGTACAGTACAAATAAATTCTAAAGCAGTGAAAAAGCTTATCAATCTAGTTAACTGCATTAAGGTAAATATACAGTCAACCCTCGCTTTACGCGGTCCACTTTACGCGTTTCCACGTTTACGCGATACCCTGCCGAAACCGGAATGCTCACTTTCCGCGGTGTGTGTACCCTTTTACGCGGAGAGCGCGCGAGCAGGGTGCGCACAAGGTCGCCCAGTCATCAAAACATTACCGAGTTCTTCACCCGCCACCCACCACAGCCGGCCCAAGTCAGTGATAGTGATAATGATAGTGAGGATATGGACTTAAATGGGCTTTGACAAAGAGGCCCTGCAAGCCTCTGTGGTAGATAGTGATACAATTGATACAAGTGATACAGGTGAGGGCCAATAATCTGCCCTCTGCTTCGGAACCAACCCCCCATCCCCGTGTGCCCAGCCATCTTTTCTACTAATGTAAGTGTTAAAAAACCTAATATTATTGATATTTCTCTTAATTATTAATTGTGTGTGCATACCATCATAAAATTATGACGTTATTTTTACTACAACGTAGGTATTGTGTCTGAAAAAGTGGAGTTTGGGGGTCCGCCCGGTCTCTATTTCAATTAATCCCATATGTTATTTTGTTCACTTTATGCGTTTCTCACTTTACGCGGACCGCCATGGGTTGAATTAACCGCGTAAAGTGAGGGTTCACTGTATACATATCTAATAACAAGAAAAATGTAAAATAATTTTGAAAAAAGATTCACCAAATGCATACAATACAATAAAATACAGTAATAATTACCTTATTTCCAATCTTGACTGTACAAAAATTTTCCCTTTGAAATAGAATATCAGATTTTGTCAGAACAACACAAGTTCAGGTTTACTGTAGATATAAAATAGGTAAAACAAATTTAAAATACTGTAGTACATAATATCATTCAGGGTGCACCTGAACTTATATAATTACAGGATGACAAAAACATGCCTAAAACCTATGAAACTTAGTCAGACACACTCGCTATAGAGGAGAACAAACACCCAAACCACAGGATCTCATATTTAACGAGGAGGATATGGTGGCCATCATGTGATGAGGTCCTTCATATTTAATGGTTTCTTGTCTGTGAGGCTGCAGTGACGGTGTATGTCTGTGAAGGTGTGCGAGTCTGCTGTGAGGGTGAGGTCACATTAGAGTATGAGTTTGTTTGGAGGTATGAGGTTATGTGGAGTTCGAATACAGGACTCACAAATGCCATTTTCCAGTTGCTGGGTATCTTTTGCTCGCCCATGCATCTGCAGAACAGGATTTTAAGGGACTCAATAAGCTCATTGCACATCTGTTTTTAGCACTTTGGGATGCCTGTTATCAGGGCCCGGGCTCTTTTGTACCTTTAGGTTTGACAACTTGTTCCTAAATTACTCTTCCGAGAATATAATTTGTGTCAGTACTGTGTTCAACCGTCTTTCCTTAAACGCAGGGAGATTGTTTGCATCCTCTCTTGAACATTGGGGATAAGAATTTAATGTATTTGCTTTGTCCTGATCCGAGTCTGCATAACTACCATTCTCAAGCATCAGATCTGATATGCCCACACGTGTCTTTAATTTCGATTTTGTATAAAGGTAGAAAGCCTTTGGGTTCGACATGACCTTCCTTTGACCACCATACCCTCCTCATTATTTATGATGTGGTCCAACAGTTTGTGTGTTTGTTCCCCCTCTATAGTGAGTCGGATCTTTCAAGTTGCAATAGAAAATTCTCCCTCAGAATTTCTACAAAAAGAGTAACAGGATTACTAATGTTATTTGATGTGGTTTCGTTCTTCCAGTTGACGTCACCATAGTTAAAGTCCCCCATGACAAGGATGTGGCTGGAGAAGAATAAAGACAATGAGGGGCAAAACAAAGACCAAGACGTAGGTTGATCTTGAAAACAGAAAATAGGGTGCAAGGAATTAAGAAAAATAGCCCAGGTTGTGGAATCAAGAACAGTACAGGGCTTCAAAATAGCCCTTGACAAAATTATCAAGAACAATGGAAGGATCCTACACAGGCCACTGGCCCCTTTCCCTTGGCATGGCCACTGCTATTGGGTGGCCATTAGGTAAATAAGGTAAAAAGTAAATAAAGTAAAGGGACTTAGACGTGGGAATTCATTAAAGAAAGAGAAAGCATCCTAGTGAAAATATGATTTGTACAGACACTTTCATAGGAGACATTAAGTAACAACTGGTAACTTATCACCAGCTGAGACAACAGACCTCACCTGAAGGGTTGATGGCGAGTGAGGTTGTAGGATAATAAAGTTTTGAGGTTGTGAAGTGAGGGGGCTAGTCTGGCTGTCACACTCTGCCTGTTGCCTTTTGCAGTTTGCCTGCCAGAGGTAAGCAACACCACCCATTGCCGCAGCTCTGCCCGAAAGTGTTCATTTCCTGCACCTCCCTAATAATGAGACATCATAGTGTTATTTAGGTTTTCTTTGATCTGTTGTTGTATACACAGCTTCATAACGGTCACATACAAATATTGTGTTAAAATCAGCTTATTTAAGTCATACCATAAAGTTCCATAAACTGTTGCTAAAATCGTGCTTGATAGTTTTATTATACATGCTGCCAATACTACTGTATCAGTTTCAGAACCCAGATCAAAACTTTGAAGGTAAAACAGATGAAGAATGACAATACAGAATTAGGAACATGTAGGCTGTCATCTTCCCTTTAAAGTTCTAGAAACAGGTGATGGAATTGACAGAAAGACATCAACTCGAAGAAGGGGATTGTAACTGACCATCAACTTGCAAAGGAAAATGATCTGACCTTGGAAGTGTTGAGAGAAAGATACTCTGGGTGCCGGGGTGCTGCTACACAATCTCCAAGAAGAATTCTCAGCACAAGCAAATTCTTCATCATTTCCTCCAAAACTTCGCTGCCATGCTCACAGCCTCCCAATGCCACCAAGCCCTGCACGTCTCCCACAGCTGATACAAACGAAGACACCAGTGACAATTATTATGGAAAGGGAGTTTATATATATATATATATATATATATATATATATATATATATATATATATATATATATATATATATATATATATATATATATATATATATATATATATATAAACTCCCTTTCCATAATAATTGTCACGAAAGCAGGTGGGACCTGAAACTGTAAACACATATATTACATGAGTCCCAAGGTTGTGCACCTTGGCATTACTATTGACCATGGACCCCGGGTGGTTTGCGCAAGAACCAAAAATCTTTCCCGACCCTAGATCTTGACGAGCCTAAAAATATAGTTATATTTTTTTATGCAGTTTCTCTTTTTACAAACGAAAGTAGCTGTTTGGACAAAGTGTGTGGATGTGATACTGGTGTGAGGGTGTACGTCTGTGAGGCTGCTCGGATGGTGTATGTTTGTAAGGGTGTTAGGCTGCTCTAACGCTGAAAAGGCAAAACTTTAGAATAATGTAAATTATATTCAGGTCTCATACAACTTTTGATTTTCCCATTCCTTAGAAACAATGTGTTCATTTCTTTTAATTTAACATTAAGATGTCCTTTCAAAACAGAGACGTGACGTGGCCGATCGCCCAAGCGGCTAACGAGCATATCAGTGGTGAAGAGGATAAAAAGTAAAAGTAAAATGATCTTTATCTCAAGTCTTACAAAAAATTATCCAGGTTTTCCAATTGTTGTCAAGTGGGTATAAGCCAAGTCACTCACCAGCTGAGAGGGAGAACGACGTGGTATTGTCCAGGGCAGTAAGGACCTCCAGCAGCTGAAAGCCCAGAGTGTGGCTCAGAGGCACCAGGGTCTCCTCCACTAACACTTTTGCCACGTCCACCAGGGCTGGAGATGACTTATCTACCACTACACCTGCAAACCCGGTACAGGTACAGTACTGTATATTCAGTATCTGACAGACAATAATTCATGTCCTAGTTGGGCCCAAATATTTAATGACCTCGTCATAGATCAAGTGACCAAGTTAAAGGTTCTCCTATTCTCTAACGAAAACAGAAAGCATGTGTGGGAACGTTTTAGGATTAAAATCCATAAGCAAGAATTTCTTATAAAGAATTCCTACTGCATAGCAACTTTAAGCCTTTAGCACGATAAATGAATTATTGATTACTGTACAGTATAATGAATTATTATTTAGAGTGCCTAAAGGCTTATCTTTACCCAATATATTGTCATGTTTACTTAAGTGAAATCGTAACATTTTGGTCTTAGTAACATAACTATTTTGAGTACGATACATCACCCCCTCTACACTATTTTAAATTTATGTAGGCAAATTGGTCTAGCAAGAAAATGTCAACATAACTTTATACATCACAATAATGCCCAAACAAGTCTACTGTCTCTGAATACAGTATTATACTGGGTGAACGCACTAGATGTGACATATTGATAATATCCACATATCGTTTGATACCTGCACACAAGTACCCTAGTGACAAATTGTCGTGCACTAGTCTGTTCTCCTAGCCAGAGAACAGGTTGAGGTGGTATACAACGAGAGTGTTCCATTGGACAAAGTTCCACCACACACATTATGCAAAGTCGGGTTTACAGTATTTTGTCGTTTTACTGTATTAAAACAATATTAACAATACTACGACTACCAAGTACTAATAATCAATCTAATGAAGATTAGGAATCCCCCTTATTTCGCCTGACGTTGGGTAGGAGTTTCTCTCCGCTGAATAAAATCGTCTGGCGTTAGCCAGGATAAAATACCTACAGTAATTGCACCGCTGCCCTACAAAGAGTTAAACATCCCAATGCTAACGTAACCTACCCTAACCCAGTTTAACTTTAGGGTGTTTAATTGTCAGATGAAATAAGGACGTTTCTTAACCTTCATGAGATCCACAATAATAATAATCTGAGTATAATAAGTAACTACAAACATGAGAGTAGAGACTTACCGAGGGTTGGCGTGTGGCCAACTGTGAAAGAGTTTAGCACTGACAACCCCGCCAAGAGCAGCAACAGGAACCGGGTCTTACTCCAGCATACACCTCGCTCTCTGACGGGTACCACTCTACTGTCAGCGAACGTTCTCATCTTGTAGGACCTCGGCAGGGAAAAGTGTTTCATCAACGACCATGTCATTCCTGTCATTCTTGAAATTACTCCTTGGTCAGTTTGGGGTTCCTTTGTGCAAGTTTTAAGCAGAAGTTTTCTTTTGCTTTTTACTATACTCTGCAGTGAGCCAAGTCCTACCTAGCCCATCCGTCTAGCTCTTAAGGACACACACACACAATTCTCACTAGACAGTCACGTTACTTCATCAGCTTAGTTGGAAGAGAACACTGTGTAGTCCATATTTACAACCAAGTCTAGTGACAAGAACACAAACTTTGAACAAATAAACATAGGCATCCGGCAACAATATTACAGTACAGGTATTAGAAATTTTAAGAGTATAAAACCAAGAGACACAGATATAGGATCATGTAGTTATCAAGCGACCCAGAGAAATGGTGGATATTAGAGGTGTTTTCTTAAGGCTGGATTGGATGGTTGTCGGGCGATAGAAGCTCTCCTTCCGGCAGTGAGGGAGTTAGTTGGTAGCCTACATGTCCAACCGGTGTTTAAGTCTACTGTTACCTGAAACTTGCATCTAGTCTATATTTTTTGGATCACATGAGGATTAGACACCCCTAGATTATTTCCCCTTTAGATTAACCACCCTCACACTAATCTAATCTTCCCGAAACATAATATAAACTAACCCCTGGCACCTTGAGGTGAAAATTGGTGGCTTGTCTAACCTTCAGGTGAAATAGGCCGAGTGTTTAAATTACTAAAGGTGAAACCATATTTGTGTCTTAACTCTGGGACCTTCAATTTGGGGGGTTGTGTTACAACTTCATTAGCCTGTGCAAGAGTTCGGGAGGACTTCCTACACTTGATTTAGAAGTAAATATACTCCAGTTTGTACGGAAATAAATACATACGTAAATTATAAGAGCTTTCAAGTAATCAGAACATATTGTAATTGGTATCAACACAAGGAAGGTTACATATGGTACGATGGACCTAGTTTTCTGAACATTCGCTATTACTTGTGTGGTCTAATTAGTCAGTCATCATCCCGTTCAACTGTGCTGAGATTCCAAAGCAAGTATGTTAACGCCCATCTTCTTTACGTACACTCCCAGCAATCAATAACCACCGTATGATTATCCATGGACCTACAGTAGTACTAACGCTACTAGGTGTACTACATATGTACAGTATATAAGTATTTACGTGATTGATGGAAAAAGTTAATTTCATATAATTGGAAGCGAGAGGCGGTTCATAGTTGTTTCTCATCATTGATTATATTATTCAACGGAAAAAAAAAAGTAACGGTGTTTTGGGGAGCCAGCTCCCCACACTACTGCAGCTCTTGTGTGATACACCTGTAGAGAGCGTCATTCTCAATCACGCCTGGACAAGCCGTAATGAAACAAATTAAAGTTCACGATTGTGGCGAATAACTCATGTGCTCAACTAGTCCAGTAAGGAGAAATTTCAGAAGCTCATTTCCACTGCTGATGAAGCATTTATATTACCAGACAGTTTAGTTATGCTCTAGAGGAATTTCTCGAAGAAAAAATAAATATATCGTGATTTAGCCAGATTCAATCTTTAACTGCTTGCATTTTGTCGGACACCTCAGCAATATAACATTGCAAACAATTCACCCTAATTAAGAAGTAGCTAACCTAAGAATGATAAAAGAACCAGCCTGATAATTTTTGCAGAACAGTACCTTAGTAAAGGATGTAATGATATGCCAGTAAAATATGACAACGAAATTTAAATTCGTAGACAAAAGTCCACTACAAACACAACTAACGTGAAATAGAAAGATAATCAAACTAAAATATATAACGTAAAGTACCTGTAAATATACTTCACAGGTGTCTACATTAAACACCTGAAACTGTTAATTTATACTAGACACTTGTTCCTTACTTAGAAGGATAATCACTTCTTAAAGCTTTCTGGGATTTAGAAAACATATTACAGTAAATTACTTCATAATAAACCAACCAGCTTAAAAATAAAATTTCCATCGCCTTATTAGTGACTGGCAAAATCAGGTATGAAGTTACTGACATCAAAATAATGTCAATCTTACTGAAATTAAAGAATAGGTGAACCGGTAAGCCTGTGACCAAGTAGCGTATAGAACTGTTGGCACTTAGCAGATGCATTAACTGTGAATTATATGGTTCCATGACAAAACCCCAACGGGGTTGTCATTTGTCAACACTAACCTAACCTAAGCTTAAAAGTGTTTTATTTTATATTTTATATATGAGACTGGGGTTTTGTCCGTTGGGGTTTTATCCGGTCACTGACTTATATATCCATTCCTACTCGCAGTTCACTCGTGGTTAAAACGTGTCACCGTGTCTGACAGACGTTAAGCATTCATTTATTAACGTATTCAGCACTTTACTCCTAAGACACGGGAAAAAGCTACAATATGTATTACCCACCTGGTGGCGAGACGATTATTACCACTACTACATTATTCAGTAAATTGCGCATCAACACACACATGCGCACGCACGATACTGTATAGTTCAACTTTGTCAAACATTCTTGTTACTTTAAAAACTTTGTGATACAGCAGGAGTGATATGTTCAAATTTACTAGTCACTAGAACGTTGCTCGCATGAATGTGAATTTATTACAGTGTACTTTAAGTGCTGGAGTGTGATTGGTTTTATGATAAACGAGTATGAATATAATAAGAATGAACTATACCGAGTGTGAACCCATTAAAAACCAAACTTGACCAACACTGGCGCAGGTTCAGATACATTCTGGAAACCGTGCATGCCCAATACAGTACTTAGAGGTAACATGAACCCATGCAATTTCTCTCTTGGAGGTTCTGCCATACAACCTACATTTCTTCTTCACTCCTGTCCAAACATCATTATTCTCTTCTCATTATTTGACTTCACACAATGCTGTACAACAAAGACGTGTTGGCTTTTTTTTTGTTATAGACGATGAAATAACATGGGAACACGCTGCAGTTCCTGCTACTTACTTTCTCGGCAGTAAATATTTCATTGATGCTGCATAACCGCTTCTTCGTGACAATGATTGGTGTGTTGTGAGGAAGACACCCCTAATACATATACTGTATTCTTGGAGGTTTTCCTTTCTTACCGATTCCTCGCTTACACAAGTCATTCGCATGCTCGCTGCTGATTCGGAACATTCTCAGTACTGTATATTCTGCTGGTGAAACCCACTTCCAGGTACAGTACAAAGAACATCAGCCATTCTGATTGTTTATTTCCACTCCGAGCGTTCATAATTGAAACTATCTTTTTTTTTTGGGGGGGGGGTTCCTTTCCAGTGTAGTCTCTATACCGTATATCCATAGTTCAGTATTATCACTATCTTTATATGACAACCTTCTGAAATACCAAATAGCAGCTCGTAAATCTGTTCCCAGCACCACATAAGGAGCTACATATTGTTTCTGGTAACGGTTTTGTTTGGTTTTCCGTTCTGCAACGTGAAAAATGAGCGACAGTCCATATTATTAAAACCTCTGCTGTTTAAGTTGAAAGGAACAGTCGTATTAACTATTTTGTTCATTCATCTATTTAATATACTATTTTTGTCCCTCCACTGATAACTGAAGGTCAAAATTAATAACCCGGTACTAAAGGAGGGCCTGCTCTACGGAACCTCAGTTAACCAGAGATTGGAGCGCCTGCAACTACCGAGCTTATACTACAGACGGGCGACCTAATCGAAGTATATAACCATCTCAAGGGGCACTACTCGGTCTAATGTACGTACATACCTGGGCGCTGGCGGACGTCCGCCATACAAGTGGTCACAGTTCAAGGTAGAAAAAGCTACAAGTCCAGAAAACGGTGAGGACAATTTTTGGGGGAGTGAGAATTGTGAACTCTTGTAACAAAATGCAGGAGAGAGTTGTGAAGACACCAAGTGTGAGCTCATTCAAGGCCAGACTTGACCAACACTGGTGCAGGTTGCGATATATTCAGGTGCCAGTGCATGCCCAGTATCTGCCAACAGTGTGTATCAGAGACGGGACCGACCGCCCAAGCGGCTAACGAGCCGACCAGTTGCGAAGAGGATAAATGTAAAAGTAAGTCAAAGTAAAAGCATTATTTAGCCTGCAGTTTATTTACTTGTCAATTACTTCAGATAAGATTAAAACTAATTGGGCCTTGTAACAGTTGTGAAAGGATACAACACACATTACACAAGATACGAAATGATACAAGATATACCGGTATACATCACACAAGTTAAAGACCAAAAAACTGAAAATTTTGAGTGTTTTGGGGGGCCTATTACTCTATTTTCTAACCTCTGTTTACTTCAATGGTACAGGTGCCGTTGTTCCAAAGTCGCACAACTCTATAATCACCAAGAAAATGAAGTAGCTGAAACGGCACTTAATTAAAACTGCATTAGTATAATGCTAGGAAAACAAAGGGGGTGTCTACACTGACAATTTCAAGAGCCGGGTTAGAAACATTGAAGAAAAACATTGCTCAAATGCTCATACCATCTCTGATATTCCTCCAGTGACCCTACATGAAGTCTCCAAACAAACTTGTCAGACGCTCAGGAGATCGGCTGTTTTATAAATGGACCGACAGGAAGACATCTTGTAAGGAGTACTGCATAATACTAAAAGCGGTAGTGCGGTAACGAGCGTATCTCTTAGTTTAGTACTGTGCTCAATCCCCGGCCGGGGCCATGTTAGAAGTTTTAGTTTAACAAATTTATTGACAAGGCCTGGAGTACAGTTTGTCTATATCTTTAGAAGATTGTTATCCAGTGTGACCCTACCAAATATTGCAGGTTTTCTCCTGATACTCCAGTTTAATCCTGTAACAAACAACAGACCAACCGTCCGAGAGACTTAGTAAGCTTGTAAGTGCCGAAATGATAAAAAAAAAAATAAAATAAAATAAAAATAATAAAACAATACGTCGACAAGACTGGAAGCGAGGCTAACAAGATGGCGATACTGTATAACAGAATGCCAAGTATTTTACCTAAAAAATGTGTCGGACCACATTTGAACTCTAACTAGAGAATGTACTGTACCTGCTATAAAAAATATTTCTGGGTTCAGGATTTATAATAGAAATCGAAAATTTTCCGAAATTGGCTCTGTAAAATATAAGGAGTATCACAAAGGAGCTTCAAAGGGCATAATATTACGCTCTGTGGCCACGAAACATTGAAAAACTACAAATGCTAACTGGAGGTCTCCTGTATATGCCGACACCGGCAGGAACATTGACGGCGACTACGACGATCCCAGATTTGTGCCGTGTTAATAAGGAACAAGACATTTAGCAAAACATTTTAAAAATTTTCCTTCACTTTAGAAATAGATGAGAAAAATCCCTTTACACATATAAAACAACCTTTCATCAGGGATGAGAGGAGAGAGTAAATGGTGTGTTGAACACATCCAACAACTCACTTATCCCCTGGTACAGCGTCACTAGCTGGGAGCGGTGTTGTGACTCAGTTGACTTGCCGCGGACAACTGAAGGCCGGACTATCGGACACATTATTATATACCGTACAGGTATATATGCCCACAGGGTGGCGGCAGAACCAGGAGTAGTATTGGGATAGGGCAAGACCGGGAAGGGGGGGAGGGTGACAATACGGCATCTGGTAGCTTCTAGTATTGCTGACCTACTATGCTCATTGATGGCGAGATTGTTTTTAATGTGTGAATGCTGCGGGAATACACGAGTGTGGAGCGAGGACACACCTGTCCGTCCCACCACCCTCTGACCTGGCAAGATTACTCCTGCTGTCATTCGTCATTGCCTCCACCATGAACTTATTGACTTTTTCATGTCCCATGCAAGTTATGCTTCACCCCCCCAACACACACACACACACTGACCGTAAGCGGAGACGATGTCATGCCTCTCTTGATCTACTAGATTTTAACATTGGAGGATTAGTAAAAACAGTCCGAGAACATTAATTTTATACTGGAGGACTGTGGCCGCCAACCTTCATATGTGAGGACGGTAGTCCAACTGTACTATTTGCACGCGAAATTACAGTGAATTCCCGACACTCAGGACCATTACCAACCAGGTACTGTAATAACCAATCGCATGGCTGATTACGAAATGGCTGATATGGTGTGTAGTGTTGAGGTCGCAGTGTGTGGAGTATATTAACAGAATTAAGTTTTGGGAAGGACTACAGTAGTGATGGAGAGGGTTACCGGTGGAAGGTTGTGAAGGTGAACCATGTTGTGGATGACATACACTCACTAGTTCCACACTTTCAGTCTGCTCACTCAAACGCGCGTGATAACATTGAAAGCCTTGTGAAAACGCACAATTTAAAGTATAGCATGTACTGTCACCAAAAAAAGTGTCTAGACCCCATGGCCTGATCCAGTGGAATAGAAAATGAACTTCCTACGCGTTAATGTACAAGATGGGTTGTTAACTTTTTAGCTGTAATAATAGAAAACCATTGATAAAAAATTATAAAATCCCACAAATAATTATCACTGCAATTAAGCATTCATGTGCAATGTATTGCTTAAATGATGAATAAATATTAATGTATTTGGTCAACACGTTATGTCGGGATCCAGTCCACTAAGAATCACTCACCGAAATTATGTAACAACAGTTACTGTAATACTGGACTTCTATTTGACGAAGGGCCACTCAAGCTCTTAGTCACCCTGGAGACTTTATATGTAATACATAATGGGAAAATCCACCTACTTGATTGGGATGTTAACAGTGTCGTAAAGTAGTAATGGTTAAGGACTATACTTGGTTGCTACCTCACGAAGCAGTATGTACACTGTACAGTCTCATTCAAGATTCTTCAAACACTGCTGGAGACAACCGGCTACTCTGTTTACTATAGTACGTAGTAAAAATTATGAATAAATTTAGAAGTGATTGGTGATTGGTTACTTAGTTCCCCCTTTGCTTAATTCAATGGTAGGGCTTTGTCGTTTCGGATTTATTATACTACGTACTATAGTAAACAAACGGCCTCAAGTTGCCAGCTGTCTCCAGCAGTGTTCGAAGAATCTTAAACGAGACTACAATACACAACACTAAGCGAAACAGCCTAATAATATTATGTAACATTCTCAACATGCTACTGTGTATCGGAGAAGTTATTGATTACAAACTGTATAAATCAATATACTTTCCCTTGGTGTTCCCATACTGCATAATGATGCAGCGCTTAAATAGCTTCCAATGCACCGGCCACCTATTGTCTCCTTTATTAACCCATACCAACTCCTCTTGGCCAAGCAAGAAATATAATAGGTAAAAGTTTAGACTTATCTGTAAGTCAGAATAGGAGGCTAAGTTTCCTTATTTGATCGCAAACTGAATGGTTCTCGCAGCGTAGATTTGTTCTTGCCCCAACTACTGCTGTTTTGGAACTGTCCTTCCCGAAGTTCCCGCTCCCGTACCCCGTCCTGCTGTCTATCTCGACCAATGAGGGTAAAAGCTCATTGGTCTCGACCTGATGGTGAATAATTCGAATCTGTCTCGCAGTTTCAAACCGTATATTCGGTACAGGGTTGACTGGAGTATTTGTAAACTAATTTTTATAATTACAACTCCAGTTATAAATCTGATAGTTGAGCTGCCATTTCATAAATATTTTGCCTGTAAGAAAACCATTAGACTGTGAAATACTATTGTGTATGCCTATTTGGCATGTTTTAATATAGGAAGCCCATTAATTCTATTTGTTTGTTAACGACAATAGATGTTATTAGATACCATTATTCTGCTTGAGAGAAATAAACACGAAATTCATACAAGCATATTCTCCGCTCTAAGCGGTTTTATTAATTTAATCGATTCGTCCACAACCACCCACGCAGATGCAGTCGAAGCCTTACATGCATATTGCATACGAACCCCTGATGTACGAATACGTACGTGTTTACTGGTGTATGATATTCAAACTAGTATGTCTATTATTGTTACAGTAAATTAAATTTTGTCTGTCAACGCATAGCAGTAAAAGGTGCACTTGCGCAGATCCAGCTAGCATGAGTAAATGAAGAAAATGCTATGCAAGTTGGAAAAAAATACGTAGTGCACCTTTATATTATCCGATAATGTAACTCTATCAACTTTCGCCTCAAACTACATATACTGAACGGTCTAAAACAAAAAAGTTTTTGCTGTATAAATAGAATTCGTCAGTCGAGGACACATGCGTTGGCTCTGTTTACACCATTATTTACAAGAAAAAAATAGTGGGGTATCGTTGTACTGTACAGACG